GTACTTGTATTTGGGATTGCCCCCTAAGGTGCCTAAAGAAAAAATATGGCTATGTTTCAATTCTCTGCCCCTTCCACCTCTACCCCTTTGAATTTCTTATGTCAAAATAGCATGGAATTTCTTGGTTAGAAATAATATGACTAGGATGTATGGTAGAGTGGAGTTGTGACTACCTGATAAATTTTTATTTTCATATTTCTTAACTTTGGAGTCTATCTTTTTTTTTTTTTTTTTTTTTGGTACTGGAACATTTCTTTGTATATAAATTTCTATAGTGCTGAGGAGGCAAAACCATGCTGCATGTTCAGTTTTCCCTTTCTCTAGTCAATATTGGACTTTTTGTGGTATGTCTTAGTGTGCACTTAGTTCTTGTAGTCACTGAACCCTGTTTATGGAGGAATTCACTGTGATATTGTACGGAGGAGGAGATTAGGATCTATTTTGGTGGTATTTAATTCTCTGTCCAGCATTAACTGTCTTCTTAAGTTGGGAGCCCGCATACTCTGTTTAGTTAGGTAAGAAAAATGGTATTCTCCATAGAGACATTCAGAATATCTATTTAGGAATGTTTATGGTTTGTTTGAACATATAGGGAAGCTAGATCCTGACTTGATGTTTAAGACACATATCTGCAAGAGGATTGAGATATTCCTGATATTCCTGTGACTGTGTGTCTGTTCTTGGGTTTGATGGAGAGGAATTGCATAAAACATGGTCTCACTCACTCAAATTAAAGCATGCATTTCAGATAAAATATTTTCCTAAAGATAATGGAAAAATATTAATTGGTACTATGCATACATAGTGTATGTATTATGTAATTTTTAGCAACTCCCAGTAAATTTTAATCAGAAAAAAATTCCTTATCTTTCCTTCCTTATTGTTTAGAACTACATTGTCTGTAGTCCCTGACATCACTGTAGTCTAATAAATATAGTACAGACTTGCCTTTAATCTATTAGTTCAGGATATTGCGTTTCTAAATGGCATGTTATAGATTATAAATTCACTTTGGATTATGATAGGTAATTTGGTTGTAAATAAAATAAAAAAAATATTATAATTAATATAATTAAAGCACCTTCCATTGCATTTAGAACTGAATGTGTTTCTGGAAATGTTTTAACATGATATTCTGTCCAATGAAGTGGAAGCCAGTTATAGCACATTACCGACTTGTAACTAAAAGTTTTAGATACTTGGCATTCCCCATTTTTAATCCTCAATGGAAATAAACACAGAATGCAACTTAATATAAATATACAAGAACTTTCTCTTGCCCATGTGATACAGATTATAGAGCTTGAGGGTAGCTGTTTTACAACATGTTGCACTCAGTTGTGCAAACTTATCTTTTTAGGGTCAAAGAAGAGCAAAAACCACAGCTGACACAGTAAGTAAAATATCCTAAAAATGCAGTAGGCTTGACTTTTCTACCTTTGCCATGTTCTGCTTTCTGCACCTTTGATGGTATTAGCTTTCACTAATACCTGATAGGCTGCAGGTAGTTTGTCATCTGCTTCCTGACTGGCTTGTAAGAGAGCTGCCTGCAGCTTCTTACTTCATCCACCTTAGCTGGATGTAGGTTCTTGCTGCCTGCTTGTTAAATGTAAAACCTTATTTCCCTTACATTCTTAGCGGCTGACTTAGTATTGCAGCTGACATTCCCATTGGCTCTAGCTTTTCCGCCTGTATATTTCTATTAACATTGGATAAGAAAACATTTAAACTAGTGTGGTTTTATTGGTTATTCAGTCACATTATTTGCTTATTTAAACAGGTGGTTTCCCTTTAGTGGGATCACTGAGCTGGTAAATAACGTTCTTCAACCACAGCAAAAACAGCAAAATGAAAAGGAGCCCCAGACGTAAGTAAGCTGCTCTCTGTAGACTAAGTAATGTCTTTATAGCATTAAAACATACTGGAGAGTATGTTTAAAATAATTGCCCCTTTAGAACATCCTGCTGAGGGCATTTTACAGGTTGACATCTTTTGCTTTCTGATCCCTCATTTACACAGGGAAAACTGAAAATCAGGTTGTACTCACCTTATCAGTAACTAACTTTTAATGATTGCATTAGAATACAATCTGAGGAGTTACTACTAGTCCATCTGCCTTCTTCTGCAAATGCTCCATACATGAAACTCCCAGTGAAGTGATGAGTTTTCTGTGCATGAGGAGCTGGAATGATAAGACACGTAGTATTATATATAGCATGTCTATGCACTTGCATGGTATTTGTGATATTGGTCACACATAGAATGCTATACAAATCTACATAATAAGTATGAAAAGCTTTTTAAAGACCAGGAAAATGTAATTTCTTTTTTTTTTTCCATGCCAAAAATATATCTGTGAAGTTTCAAAACTTTAGCAGATATAGGTGAAATCTTGGTTTTGTCAAAGCTGAGGGAATTTTGACTTTGATGAGGCCACTATTTCATCCATGGACCTTTTACAGTGCTAAGTCAGTATGACAGCCATATGAAAAATTTTATTTTTTTTGCTATCTGAAAATTTTAAGATTTAACAGAAACTGGCAAAGCTAGGACATTCAGTCTTAGTGTGAGAATGTAATTCGTGGAGCTGAAAATACTCCTTTCATGAGAAGAAACTAAAAAATATTTATTATTTCAAATTTTTAAATGATGACTTCTGATATTATTTAGGCTTTAAACAGTTATGTTTCTGCCTTTTCTTTCTTCTAAAAGGGAATGCTTTGTGAGTTCACATGATAAAAGAAATGTTTGCTTTTAAACCCATGCAAAATTGGTTTAAACATGCATATTATTCGTTGTTAAATATTTTCCAGGCAGAATCAGTTTTAGTTCATTTTTAAATATGTATATTTAAGTGGAGTTTCATACTTGCAGGCTGTGAAAGATGTGAGTTCTTTCTTGAGAATACACAGTGAGAAATAGGATATGAAATTGATACTCTCTAAAGCAATGTGTAATTCTGAGCTCTGTTTCTGATATCCTCACGTAAGTTCTTATAAATTTGCTTATAATATTAATAGTGGAGTTTTTATTTATTGTTTATTGTTAGATACTGGCAACATTACATTTTGTTCACAACATCTCAGTACTTTCTTTGTATTCCTAGTTTCCTTAATACAGCAAAGTTTGTTCTGCTTACCAATGTTGTACATATGAAACATATGGCTTTGAAGAAACTGAAAATACTGTATACTTACTGTAAACAGTTGAGTTATAGTTGCCAAAAAGTATTTAAAAATAGTTACTGTTATTATGGAAGGATTTTATTTTATTTTATTTATTTTTTTTTTAACAGCAATTTCTTAAGCTGTATACTCATTGAATTTACAGATGGTACAAGGCTGGGAGAATTGCAACATCTAATAGCAGGATTATATTCAAAAATTATTCTTAAAAATCCAAGATACGGTTATGATGCCATTCAAAAGGATAAATGCAAGGTAGTGTAGTTATGTAGGGATAATTTATGTGGTTTACATAGGATAGAGAAATACAGTGTAGGTAGAAGTTCTTTTGGCAGAGAATCTGGGAGCCGTAATGGTATGTAAATTGAGCAGGAGCCAGTGTTGTGAAAGAGAGAAATATCATACTGGAATTTATAGGCAATAGACTGGAAGTGCCATGAAGACATTTTTACTCCGCTAAGCTTTTGTAAAGTCTCATCTGGAATAGCATGCCCTTTTTTGGACACCGTCTTTCAAAAATGATGTGCAGCAGTGAGAATTCAGTGGGGAGTAATAAGAGTAAATAATCAGATGGCTAAGAAACATGGCATGTATAAGGAAAGATTGAAATGTATGAGGTGATTTAGCCTTCTGAAGAAAAAATCCCAGGGATGAAAGAAACAGACAAATCTTCAATTATGTAAGAAGTTGTAGAAAAAATAGAAGGAAATAATCTCTTCTCTATGCTTCTGGTTGTGAAGCAGAAAGGAGTAAAAAATTGCATCAGGGAGGATTTAGCTTGCTAGGGAAAACTTTTTAATGGAACAAGAACTTAAAATGCTTGCATAGTTTGCTTAGGGCTTGTGTGGAAGCTTTGTCACTAAAAATCTTAAGGAATGGGTTTGTCAAATATCTGCTAGAAGAGACACAAGCGCAGCTGGTCCTGTGCTGGGACAAGAGAATGGACTATGTGACTTTGTAAAGTGTCTTTTGGCACTCTTTATTTGTGAAATTTTCATTAATTCATTAATGAGAATTATCTTTTGTGACTATGGCAAACTTTCAGGGAGAAAATAGAAATAATAATGGGGCAACTTCTTATTTAATTTCTTTTTCTGACTTTAATGGCTTGGAGAGAACTGCTGTACCTTGGAACATTGTGGGATGCTGGGGAGCAGCAAGGAAATCTATGTCTGAAGAAATTTTTACCACTATCCATATGTATCAGGGCTTTTTCCATTGAAATAACTGTTAGTATTGAGCCTGTAATGGATTTCAAGATGCATTTGGCTGTCCAACTTTGCTGATGAAAAAACTTATTTACAGTTTATCTGCAGAGGATAAAATGTGGTGGGAGAAGACAGAAAAGGAATCACATAGCTGTTGGAAACAAAACTTACCATGTTGCAAATTTCAGTTTTTCTCTGGTGAAAGTATTTTTGAACAATTGATGACCATGTATTTTGTGGGCAGAGGCAGGATTAGTGTGACACCCTTGAACATGAATTCTATATCACAGAATCCCCAAATGATTGAGGTTGCAAGGGACCTCTGGACGTCACCTTGTTCAACTCCCCCTACTCAAGTTGGGTCACCTAGGACTGTCTGTCCAGGACCATGTCCAGGTGGCTTTTGAATATCTCCAGGGATGCAGACTCTAGAACCTCTCTGGGCTAGAGGTACATGTACTAGTGCTTGAAAAGTGGTTCCTGATGTTCAGAGGGAACCTCCTGTGTTTCAGTTTGTGCCCACTGCCTCTTGTCATGTCCCTGGGCATCACTGGAAAGAGCCTGGCTCCATCCTCTTTGCACTTTTCCTTCAGGTATTTGTATACAAAGATAGGATTCCCCCTTGAACTTTTTATTGTCTAGTCCCATCTCTCTCATCCTGTCCTCATGAGAGAAGCTCCAGTCCCTTAATCATCTTCCTGGCCTCTTGCTGGACACTGTCTGGTGTGTCCATTTCTATCTTGAACTGGGGAGACCAGAGCTAGACACAATACTCCAGGTGTGGCCTCACCAGTGCTGAGAAGAGGGGAAGGATCACCTCCCTTGACCTGCTGACAATGGTTCTCTTAATGCACCTCATTCCCATTCTCTGTCACAAGAGCACCTTGCTGTCTCATGTTCAAATACCAGGATGTGCAGGTCATTTTCTGCCAAGATGCTTTCCAGCTATGAGAGAGGTCAATGAGAGAGGTCAGTTAGGGGGACAATGTGGAAAGCCTTACTGGAGAAAAGGTAGAAAACATTTATTGCTCTCCCCTCATCCAGTCATTTCACTGTAGAAGGTTGTCAGGTTGGTCAAGCATGACTTCTCCCTGGTGAATGCACGCTGAGTACTCCTGATCACGTTTTTGCTCTTCGTATGCCCGGAAATGGTTCCCAGGTTTAGTTGTAACATTGACTTCCCAGGGATCAGTGTGAGGCTGACCAGACTCTGATCCCTGGATCCTTCTTGAGGGTAAGAATGACATTTGCTTTCCTCCAGTCATGAGGCAGCTCTCCCAGTCACCACAATCATTCAACGGTTGTTGAGAGTAGTTTTGCATATCTGGTCTCCTGTGATGAAGAATAGTTTTATCTCCAGCTCATGTGTACTTCATCCTGAGTTTTATCTGCAGTGCTCAAGATATTTCCGTGTTGTCATCCTTACAGAGTAGAAACCCTTAGCTTCCCACTGAAGCAGCTGCTTTTGATGCTCAGCAATTAGCCTGTCAATTTTTGTTTCTTCAGATACATATGGCATAGATTTTGTAAAAGGTATATTCAGATTGTTCCTCACTGGGTTTTGGTGGTGTTCTTTGTGCCTAAGGGTTTGACTTCGAGTTTTTATTTTGATTTTATGAATCTTGGAAGATTATGTAATGGTTTTAAGCTTCAATTAAAATAAAGGAATTCCCATGCTAGGATGCACTAAAGATTCTTGTAGTCTAATAGTGTCCTGGCAGTGCCTAGCAATGGATATTTAAGAATGCACATAAGGAGGAGGGCATGCATAGACTAATTCTGATACAGCCACTTGACTTCAGATATTTTAGTGGCTTCCTGAGGCAAAGGCTGCATGCATATTGCTGTATTTATTTCATGGTCATTAGGAATCTATCTGCCATAAGTATTCTCTGTCCCATTTTAAACCTATTTATGGTTTTGGTTTTGCAGCTTGGTGAAACGAATACTACACTTTAAATATCTGCTGTACAGCAGAATTGTTAACCCTGGTTTGCTTTAAACCTAGTAATTTCTATTGATATCTATTTGTTGTTGTCTATTATATATTATTGTCTATTAAGACTAGGACTCCCCACTGAAATTAAATTATGTAATTCCTTAGGTGTACTGGTCTATTCTATGCATAACCTTTACACATTTCTACAATATTCCATGCAGTCTTCTAGATTCCATACAGTCATTCTCCTTCTGTGAAAGGCATTCTGTGCTTCTGATCCTCCTTGTTGCCTTGTGTCTGTTTAAAAATACTGTTATATCTTGTTAAGGGGGACCAGTATGACTGAAAGGATTCAAGGTATGAGAACTCTGTGATTTTATAGTGTCTTAGGAAAAAAGATTTCTAATGTTTGCTGCTTAAAACTATCCAAATACTGAAAAGATGGTGTTTTGTTTTTTTCCCTTTTCCCAAGAAAAGGATCACACACATAGTTTGGTTAACATGACCTATCCTGTTGATATAAAATGGAATATTT